TTCTCCCTCCCAGAGGCAAACGTTTTCTCCTGTTGTAAATCTCTCCGGTAGTCCACCAGCAGATGACAAACACCCACTTCTCCGCCTCTTCCAAGGGACGAGGGGACAGTGCAGCAGAGTTTCAGTTAGATTTTTTTCCGCCGGTCAACATGGCCGGTAAAGTTTAAATCTTCCGGACAAAATTAGAAAAGTGCCGGTCAAAGGTCTTCTTTGTTATTTATTGAGCTTTAAAACAAATGAATAACGACTCTATATAATAATAAAAAACGGAGCCTCTCTTTTCCTCCCCCTCTTCTGACAGCCCAGCAGCTGATCTCTGAGCAGGAGAGGTGGGGAGAGGCGGGGCTATTGCTTCAACGGTATCAGGAAATTATCGTATAGGTATAAACACGGAGCCGTTTGCCTCCCCAGAGCGTTTCGTTTGCAGATCTACCCACCTTGGGACCCGTTATCGTTTTCTGCGTTTCCATGTCGGCCTCGTGTGGCCGAACCGTCTATCTGATAGTGAACTGTAGCAGATACGACCGTTATCGTCCTCGTGTGGCCGGGGCTTTAAAATACAGGATTTTTTGCAACTTGTATTCATTACGCAAATGTAAGTATCTTCATTTGGGTTGGCTAGTTCAATAGTTTACTTCAACAGTAAAAGTGATCCTCGGGATATGTAGTGTTTTAAAAAAAACAAATGGTTACATTTAAGAATAAAATAAAAAATATAAGAAAATGACTAATATTAGCCTCAAACCCTTGTTCAGCTAAATGCAAAACGTTTGAGTTAATAAACATGGTTAGGATCTGAAGACTATGTGCTGGCTGTGTTTATGTGCCAGTCTTCTGTACTGCTAACAGGAGGTACATTTCACACTGCTGTGGCTGTAAAGCCCATCGAGTCCTACATTAAGGAAACTATGCAGTAACTCGCTTAGTAATAAAGTAAAGTCAAATATCAACAAGGTGAAAGCCTGTGAGCCATGTACATCCACATGGCAAGAAAGATACATCTGCAAAATAAATATTTAATTTGGCATTGAAGTTAAAAGTCAAACTATGGTGGTAGAGTACAATGCTGAAGAAAAATAAATTATTCTAGTAGAAAACACAAATACAAGTATGAACCTGAAAATGACTATAAGCCCCTTTTGAACTACACCTCAAACTTGATTTTCTGGGTTATCTTCTCCCAAGCCTGTGTAGCAACACCACTGGCATGTTCGGGGCTATTTGGGCCATTTTAAAAACAGGTGCCTAAGCAGGACGGGCACCTATTTGCATTACCAAAGTGGCTCAATTTTGAGCACTGATTGATTGGACCATGTTTATTAATTTGGCAAATTGGGTTTTTTGACCCAACAAAACTGCTTAAAACCACAGCCAGGACATTTCACCATTGTCCGCCAACTGAATGAATTACATCAAATGTTTAAGAGGGCATGCCAATAAAAGGACACTGGTACGTTTGTTCTGACCAACTGGAACAAGGTGGGTAAAGCAACGCTTCCATTTATCACTTATTCACCATCAACTCCCTCTAGAGCCAAAATACACTGAGTAGTACAACTGTTCAGAAAACTGATTGGTCCGGTCAATGTTACCCTTAGGTAATGATAAAGGTTTTTCTCTAATGCCTTACCATTTCTTTTGGCTTCAGCTTTGCAAAAAAAGAAAAAATAACTGGCAAACTGCAGCAGCGCGGTAGTTATCACACACAGGTGAAGGTAGGCTGTAGCCTGTACACAACCTTAAATAGTTTAAACTTTGGGTGTGACATAGTTCAAGGGTTTGAGGCAAGAAGATCTCCCGTGTGTGTGTGTGTAAGCTTGAACTAATCATGAAATAGCTAATGTAATGGTGTAGCAGAAAGTGACAATAGTGTGCATGACAAAATCAGCAACCGCCCGCACTTCAAACATAAACTGTAGCAGTTGCTGGGCGAGCAGGGCTAACGGCAGTATTGAGTCAAGCTGTACATTGTACGTCTCGAATACTTTATGTACATTAAGCTCCCTCACTGCAGCCAATTATCCTAGCTGCTATTGCATATATTTGCGATGCATTATTTAAACAATCAATATATCAGAATGAGAAGCTGGGCTTACCAACTCTCAGGCTAGCTGGACATTGAAGAGCCTTGACAGGAGCTAGTACCTCACCTCTTAGTTAAGATGAGAAATACAACTGGCCATCAAACAAAGTGATGAGGGAACGAGTTGGGGTGGTGGCGATGGTGATGAGTTCTGATTATGGGGTTGGATGCGGACAGCTAGATGTACTACAGGTTTTATGCTTTAGCATATCCTCTTATTTTCAAGTATGTGAATTTATGTGGTACGTTTTATCCCATATCACACATACATTTACACTACTTTTTTGACAATGTTGAAGTCTGTGTGTTTGTCCAGATTTGACATGACAATAAATGTATCCCTAAAATTGAGCTAACTTTGAAATTATCATGAAACGCAAACTTCCATAATCTTTTTGGCCAAGACAATTATTTACAGCAATTAAAAAGAATCCTGGTCAGTAGTAGTAGTAGCACGTCTAAAGCGATTGCTGCTTATAATGAGTCCAAATCCATTTAGGATGACTACTACTGTGATCCTTACACAAGCTGCCTGGGCCGTTTTCAGTCTTTCAGCTGGTGTTCTTATCCAGGCAGGAGTTCAGGGACTTGTTCAAGGACACACCGAGTACACATGACAGATTAGGGAGCAATTTACCTGTTCAAAATATTAATCTCCTTAATTTAGACCAAAACGAAACATTCTAGGAAAATAATTTATCTGAGGAAGCCATCTTTCAAACAATAGACGTTCAATCTACACCAGATCAATTTCCGCGTGATAATCACACGTCTTTACCATTTACATCTACTCTACAAAATGTTAATAAAAAGGACGCACAACCTTTTATTTTAATGCTTACAAACCATAAACCCATGATAACAACTTCTAAATAGGCATGGTTTAGTATCACATGAACAAGAAAAGAAACAGCTCTCAAAACAGTCAACAATGCAACCTACAATTAGCATCCAACCGATTTAGTTCTTTGAATGCTACATACAAAAAGTGGCACTACTTCTGCTGGGTTATCTGGCAGGCGGCCAGGTTTACTTGCTGATGTGACAGCTTTTCGAGCACAAGCCACCCAACCCTCACAGACTGGTCCAGATTCAGGGTACAGGCTGTACCCTAAATTCTACATCAGTAACAGCGAGAAAACAAACCAACTGGCAACAAAAAAGACAAAACAATTTGCTGACAGGCCAGGGTCAGAATCACTATAACCTGACTCCAAAGCTGACACTGGCCATGAAAAAGCTCACACATGGCTGTGAGAGGAAACACCACGTTGCCTTGCCAGAGCTGAGCTTGTATAATACCAATAATCCCTCTACACAATCGATTATAATTACCCTAATTTTGGCAATCCACCTCTAATGTAAAACATTTCATGTGCTGTTTTTTTTTAAATTAACACATGTTGTATTTCTGACGCCCAGATTAGTGAGCTCAAGCACAAGGCATGATGACTCTCATAAGCCTGGTTGTTAGCATCCAAGCTCACGGTGGCTAGCTGGGTGGACAACCACAGGAGCCGGGTTAGCGCTGACAACAGACACAAGACGTGACAACAGGGATATTACCCACGAAACACACAAAATGTCTCACATAGGACCACCTCAGATATTAACTGGTCTCTGACTTTGCACGAATCCGACGCAATTAGCCTGCTAAGTGGCTAGCTAGCTAGTAGCTAGCTAGTATCGCCCATGCCTTTCTCTCAGGGAACACGTGGAGTAAACACGTGATGTCCAACAACAAGCCAGCTCCTTTTTAGCGATTAAACAAGCAGATGTTTCATGTTGGACAATGTTTAAGTTTCGTTAATTGAGCTTTAAAAAAACTTAAAGGGATGTCATGCCTTGCACAGAGTATGAAACGACTGGGAATGCACAGTAGCGACTTGGAAGCTAAGCTAATGTCTGAGTGGAAAGGGCTTGACGAAGCACTAGGCCAAAGAGTAGTCGTGCTATTGTTAGCTGGCTAAGCAGCTACACAGCCGGTCAAGCTCGTGTTTTTTCTTCTAATTGATGCAATGCGAGACATGGGCGGATGTGTCGTTTATTTGTAGTGTGGCTATGTGTCGAAAAAGAGGGCCTCAAAACACACATGTAAACATTAGTAAGCGCCGGTTTTAATATTTTGCAAACACAGGGAGTGTATTAGCTAGGGTTTGGCTGATTGGGTGTGTGTGGCAGAAGATAAGACACAGGGAGGGTGAGCATGGTGATGGAGCAGGTTAAAAATGAGGACGTTTAAGTTGACTACTGTCTTGTAAAACGTACCCAACAAGCATGCACTGTGACACTGTTAAAATAAGCGTACTATACCTCAAAAGATTGGCAGAAAATAAACACAAACTGGATGAACTAAAGTAAATACAGATTCTGGCGAGTCTGCACCAACCCAGCAACTTTACAACCATTGCACGACAACACAACGTGTCCTTAAACTCGAAGCACAATCCCTAAATTAATTAAACCTAAAACTGTTCAAAGTATTGATTGGGGGTGGGGGGCACATTATCATCTTAGGTGGACCGAATGTTTGGCTGCCATTGTTTGGCATGTGATTAAAAGTATTTACAATTTAGAAAGACATTTTAGACATTCAGCAACTTAAATGGGTGTGATCTTTTTTGTTTTAATGCAACCAGCCACCTATGGGTCCACAACTCCAGGAATAGCCTTCCCTAGCAGGAGGAGGGAGGGGGCTTTAACTCCAAATATATCCAGCTTGCAGGGTGCAACAAGGGGGCGACCACAGACAGGGCTTGTTTATGCAATCACTCTGCTCTTTTGGTTTTTAATAAAATGGTATCCGACCTTTCTTTGACAGCTGCTCAGTCATTGTTTGTGACCACACCTGGAAGGACAGACACCGACACAACACTGACAGCGAGTACAATCAACATGTAAGGGAGGGTGTACCAACCGTGGTGTGCTTGTCCATTCACGCTGACCACGGTCACCGCATTCATTTTCCTAGTCCACGGGTTCACCTTGGGCGGTGGAGCTTCAGTAAACTCCTTTCTGCCTTTAACGCCTTCCTCGTTTTGCTTATCTTCGCTGTCACAACCTCCTTTGCTCTCCTCTGTCTCCTCTTTGGAGGTCTGCTCCTCCGAGGTCCCTCCCTGCCCGGGGCTGCTGCCGCCGCTGCAGCTCCCCTGCTCGGCGACACCAGTCTGCTGCTTGGCCCCGTCGCCCCGGCCGCCCTCATCTTCCTCCGGCTCACCGCGGATCATTTTACCGTGCTCCTCCGCTTTAGCAAGCGGGTTGCCGGGCAGGAGAGCCTCCACCTGAGTGGCCATTTCCCACCGCCGTCTTTCTTCCCCCCTCAGGATTACCAGTCCTCCCCACGGCCCGAATTCTCCTTCAATTTCAAGGAAATGTGAAGTTGTTCCGCGGAGTCTGCGCTCCTCAGTCGGTCCTAGACGAAAATAGCTTCAGTCTAGACGCAGAGCATTCGGCGCCGAAATAAAACACGTATAAATATAAAGAAACGTGTCCGAGGGCCTCGCAGGATTACAACCTTATCTCCACCACTAGCAGCAATATGGATGATCCTCACCACGCGATAGAAGGGTACGCGCACGTACGGTGAACAGGGGGCGTAGCCACGTAAAGCCGGGAGCGCGCTTTTGTGTCAGGTCGAGATGATGCCTTCAAGCGCTTCCTCGTAGTAGAACTTCTTAATCCCCAGTTTCTGGCAGCATTAAAGTGCCTTGCCGATTCAAACTGGATAGTTTATTAATGACAAGAGCATATATTTCTGATAAACAACTTTATTTCGTGTAGTAACCTATATATATATTTGTCTTTTTTAAAGATTTGTTTATGCCACTTTATTATGGCCCCCACTCTTTATACAAACAATTATTTCTTTTTTGGTGTTGTGTGTTTGTTGTTTTGGTTTTAATACTGTGTCCTCACCAACACCACCTACTTTGTATTACTTAAAAAATAGAACAAATCAAATGTATTTTCACTTAAAGGTGGGGTAGGTAAGTTTGAGAAACCGGCTCGAGATACACTTTTTGTTATATTCCATGGAATGCTCTTAACATCCCGATAGCAATGAATATCTTAAGTGCTTTGACAAAAAATCCATAAAAAAATGTCATCTGTGGAAGCCATAGTACTGTAAAAAGCACGACCAATCATTTTAGCCGGCCCGGCTAAAATAACTGGATGGACTGCCTGCCTGTCAGCCTTCCATCTCTGCACAAATTTATCTCGTGCCCTCATAGAGTGGCGAAGTCACGCCCACTTACTTCCGGGTAATGGGACCTTATTTCGGAAAAATTATGCATTGAAGTCAATGGGGAGAGAAAACTTATCTTTCGATCCCGTTTGAATTGTGCCATGAATTACACATATGATGTTTGTCAATCTTAAAAAATAATTTCCATGTAAAAAAAGTCACAGTTTGTCTTAAAACTGTTGAAATATAAGACTATGAAAAATACGTAACTAGAAAGACTACAAATCCCAGAGTCGCGTAAGTGATGTCACAATTGTTTTCCTCCACCATTCAGATACCTAAGATCAGCGCAATATAGATATAATCTATCTATATGGCCAGTGGCGTTTTTATATGTACAAAAGTGGTGGGGCACAAAAAACGTAGATGTCTATATATAAGCTTCTGCAGTGACGTGCAGTGAGGTTCATGGCTGGTGAGGCACTGGCACTGACTCTTCAGGTTTACAAATATTATATTTTGACCTAAACCAAAATATAATATTATTTTCAAAAGCTTTTTTTGTCTGATGCTTCGATTAATTTTAAACAGACAGTTCAACAAAAGGATACCCAAAAAATGTAATTTTATCATTTAAATATTGAATTGTTCTCTCTTAGTAAGATCCCATTTTCAATCAAATTGCGATCTTACCTTGACTTGAAGATGAAGTCCATTTGCCTATCCTTCTGGACAAAAATGTCTATAACTTTTTTGTAAAAGTCCTCCTTATGTTCTTGTAGTTTCAAAAGTCTATCATAAATCTAATCCATAGATTTATGATAAAAAAATTATAAAAGTAGGGTAGACATGTGGATGTTATCCGGCTGATCAAAACGTGCATTTATCTAACAGGTACGTTTCCCACAGATCTTATTTCCAGCTATTTTCTAAAATCCTCTGGAGAAATCTCATTGCTTTTTTGTCGAGGGAAGCCATGCGCAGCTTACTTCCTGGTTTTAGGACGCGTCACTGCAGCTCTCTCGTCTCCTCTTCACACACCACACTTTTCGCGGCACACGTACTTACAGCCAATCAGCTCTGAATGATTTGAGATGACGTATGGTGGGGATGGTAGCTCCATGCCCCTCTGGTCATTATTTTTTTGCCACACACATTTCATTACAAAATACTCTGAGCATGCGCAGTGTAGTTTTTACAGTCACCGTTGACTTCACAGCGAGAGGGAGGGGCATAATCAGGTTTTGTCCCACATGGCTCTAAACAGCTCAATAGGCACACACTGTGACTGTAGACACACTAATTAGAAGAACACAGACTAAAACAGCAATGTACAGACGAATCAGATGATTAAACATGATCTTAAAATATATTTTATATATTTTTTTATTTATTTTTTTGCATTTTTGTAATCATTATTTGTAATACTTTCTGCTGACACTAGGTGGGGCTGTGCCCCACCTGCCCCTAATGACCAGTCGCCACTGTATATGGCGCTGGCTAAGATAAGATAACTTTAACAAGATGCCTGTGTGCTTAGTACCAGGTTGTTATTATACCTGCAATGGGTCTTGCTCGTTCTTTTGCTTCCCGTCTGATGAAAGGACCAGGAGTGGCTTGATCAAGTTAGCTACCTAGCTAGTAGCTAGCACGTTAGTTAGCATTACAGCCTTGTCATTTTTATTAGCCTTAACATGAAGTAACATTAAGTAACCCAAAATGTTAAACAGTAAGAGTAGTAGTCATATTTCGTGAACCCTTTGAATAGTACTGTCACCGGTGTGATCATTCTATAATACACCATTTAAGCCCGGGGGAGAAATGCTAACGCTAACGTTAGCATCGGCGATCTTCTCTACTTCATGCTATCTGCACAAATGGTTGACATTAAACATTAAAACGACCAGGCAGTTCAGAGAGAATCAAAGGAAGGCAGGCAGGCAGCTTTGCATGACATTCTTCAGGACGTGTTTCATTGTGGTGATAGTGAGGGAAGTCAATCGTGTTGTTGACCAGACAGTAGTGACGGCCATCTTGGTGACGTGTGTTGTTGACCAGAGATGTAGTTCATTGAGCGTTTCACACAAACAAATGTGTTACTTCACAGTTTTACGACACATCTTTTTTTTTTTGACTTGCAAAATTATCTTTTAAATTGACAAACATCATATGTGTAATTCGTGGCACAATTCAAACGGGATTGAAAGATAATCTTTCTCTCTCCATTGACTTCAATGCATAACTTTTCCGAAATAAGGTCCCATGGGGCTCAACCGGAAGGGGAGGGACTTCGCCACTCTATTGGTCATGTGCGCGCTCGTGTGTGTTGGAGGAGGGGCTATCTGTAAGGAAGTGGCAGATTTTCTCCGGTTGTGTATTTTCAAATTCCAGCGCACTCGAGCTGGTTTCTCCGAAATTACCTACCCCACCTTTAAGACTTAACAGTTTGTAGTTTAGTCTTATTGAGAACAAAACATGAGAAAATGCTCCCTTTTTTAATTCAATATTGTAGTGCCGAGAGAAGGGAGACGGAGGCGGTGTATCGGAGGTGCAAATCTCTCTTTATTGGGGAGCAGAAACTGACATGCTATCGGGTCGAAGCCGCAGAAGAGAAGAGAAAGTGAAAGGGACACACACACTGTAGGTACCCCGGAGGTACCGTCAACATATATGTCCGGGCGGAAACAATACCCCCAACCTGTAGTTCCCGGATTGAATTATGTAACCTCAGTGTATGAATCAGTGATCACTACAATATGTTGTTATTTTTGTCCTATTCTGCAGGATTATATCTAGATTAAACTATAGCTTTCACAACTAGTTTAACAACTACATTTAATTAATATAAATATTTGAATAACAAACGGACCAAAACAAACTAAATAGTTACCCGTGTACCTTAACAGCACATGAAAGCAACTTTAGTTAGTTCCAGAAAACCAAAGTATCAGAATCAGAATCAGAATACCTTTATTAGTCCCACAAAGAGGACATTTGCATCGTTACAGCAGGAAAGAGCTGTAACGATGCAAAAAAAGTGTATTACAGCTTAATGTTACATATGTTAAAAAAAAGTACTAAGTTATGATATAATAAAAATATAATAAAAAAAAAAAAGTTACATACTTTTCAAAATACAAATCCTGTAACAGTTCTTAGGATTTAGCAGCCAGGTATATATTACACAGTTATTAATGGCATATGTATATAATGTATATATTGCACATATTGCACATAGTTTGATGGTATTTAACAGCAGCAAGTTACACAATTTACAAAATACAAAATGCAAAATACACACCTTGTAACGGTTCTAAGGATTTAGCAGCCAGGTATAAATTACAGTTATTAACGACATATAAAAGGAAAACTACTCAGTGTGAGTAAGAGCTGAAGATCACGTCACATCTTTAATGTGTGATTTGATGAGATTACAGCTTTCTTTGTGTGTGAGGGGGTGATTCATTCATATTGCCAGGCAGATACACAAAGGTCTACTTTAGCCTATCACTGTAACACATGACCAGAAGACTATTCACAATCAGTCATAGATATCAAACCTTGAAAGCCAGTTTTCTAACACATGGTTGTTACATGTAATGTTACACCACTCTCATTGGTTGAATAAGCAGCCTTTTTCAGATAATTTACTAAAGTAAAAGTTATAAAACCACCATAAAAAGCTATTTCATGTAAACATTTACCATTTAAAAGAATACAGCAAAAAAAACTTGGATGGAGTTACTCAGGAGGGTGACGTTCAATCGTTCAATCAGAAGGCCTAAACTGTTATATAAGTTATATCATGGTTTGTATTGATGCATTGACATGTTTTAAATGTTTTAAAGTGTTATTAATACAACAGTTACGTGATTTTATCCGTACAATTCTGTCTCATGTATAGGCTAAACATGTATTATTAGAAATATATTAAACTGCAAGTTAAAGGTAGGGTAAGTTTGAGAAACCGGCTCGAGATCGCTAGAATTTGAAAATACACAACCGGAGAAAATCTGCCACTTCCTTGACGAACGCGCACATGACCAATGAGGGCACGAGATAAGTTTGTGCACAGATGGAAGGCTGACAGGCAGGTAGGCCATCCAGTTATTTTAGCCGGGCCGGCTAAAATGATTGGTCGTACTTTTTACAGTATTACGGCTTCCACAGATTACATTTTTTTATGGATTTTTTGTCAAAGCACTTAAGATATTCATTGCTATCGGGATGTTAAGAGCATTCCATGGAATATAACAAAAAGTGTATCTCGAGCCGGTTTCTCAAACTTACCTACCCCACCTTTAAGTAGTAACTAAAGCTGTCAGATATAGGCAGTGCAGTTGAAATATGAAATGGC